ATTTCTGTTCATTGTGAGTTTAAATGAGAGGAGGAGGAGTCAGTGGCATCAACAGGGGAGCGGCAGTTGGTCTTGCCCTGGCCTAGGCATGATACGGTTCTGGTGAAGCTGAAGCACCTTGTACGGTTGTATGAGAAATGGTTAGAAACCCTCTGTCTTCTTGCAGGGGCTCACTTTTTCAAATTCCTTTTTCTGTGACCCTCATTAACACCACAGAGAATGAATGGAGCCTGGGGATGCAGCTCTTGGTTAATACGTTGAAGACAAGTGCAGCCTTTCCCTAACCCCAAGTGGCACACATCTCACTAGGGAATCTCGGGGAGCTTAATAAATAGAAGGAATAGCTGGGAGCCACAGGCTCAGGCCTGTAGATCGTTAGTATTCAGAATGTCCTGTGTTGTTCTGTCCACTGAAGCCTTAAGGAGTCATTAACATTTCATGGAAATCCGGGAAGCATTCCATTTAGAATCAAAGAACAATTTTGACCTGGGAATCTAAGCCAGTAATAAAATAATAAAATAAAGTACAGTAAAATTAAATTAATGCATTTATGGTGAAAAAGAAAAGAGAGTTTCTATAATCTTAACAAATGCCCTCTTACCCTCTTCTGAAAAGTATATTCATTGGGCCACCTGCGATCCAAGGATGGGGTTGCATGCATTCAGATTCCATCTTTATAGATCAAAGCTACATGTATTAAGCTAGATTCTTTTTTTTTTTTCTATTTGGTTACAGGGTCTGCAGAGTCTACAGGGTCTCACTACATAGATCAGACTTGTAGTGATCCGCCTGCTTACAACCTCCCAAGCATAGGGATTACAGGCGCATGCCACCACCCCATCTCAATTGCTGTCTCAGTGTGCCCCGGGGGCAGGGCTGGTACAGCAGACTGGGGGATTGAACCTCTGGCACCTGAGTCTGCCTAAGCAGGTGCTATAATCTGCTGAGCTATTTGGCTGGCCGTCAAAATTAAAATACTTCTGATCCTATGCTGTTTTGTTTTATTTTCGTGGTACCAGGGATGTAATTCAGGACCTTGCGCTTGCCAGGCAGCACTTATCCACTGAGCTATCTCCCCAGCCCTAAACTGGATTCTTCAGGGAGAAAACTACTTAAAAGTTAAGCACTTTTGAAATGATGCAGACGCTTCTGAATTCTGGGCCTCTGTGCCATGGGGAGAGAACATGTATTCCCTTTTAAAACTAAATTGTGTGGGGAAAGTGACTGCAGGTGGGCTACAGAAAGACTTTGGGGGCTCATTGGCCACATCACCTGATAATTATGGTCCCACAGAGAAACCTGTGCATCCTCCAGATAAAACCAAGAACTCCAGTGTTTTAGCTGTATGTGGAGAGAGTGGGAAGTATTTAATGTACCTAAATTGTATAGTAGCCTTCGAGTTCCCTGGACTGGTGTGGAGCAAGGTTCTCATCCTTATGGTGTGACTCATGCCACCATTTTGGAAAGCAAAAGTTAAGCCAAAGGAAATGGCTTGATGTGACCTTTCTTTCTTTCTTTCTTTCTTTCTTTCTTTCTTTCTTTCTTTCTTTCTTTCTTCTTTCTTTCTTTCTTTCTTTCTTTCTTCTTTTGTATTTTAATAAGGGTATGTAGGGTCTACAGGGTCTCACTACATAGATTGGACTCATGGTGATCTGCCCGTGTTCATCCTCCCCAGCTCTGTGGTTACAGGCATGTGCCACCACGCCCAGATTGATGTGGCATTTCTACTGGCTTCAACACTCTAACTCAGACTAGAAACTTCAATGCCATAGTTGTTTACAGCCTTCATTTCTGTATCAAGTCACTTAGCACCTCACAGCACATTTTCTCATCTCTAAAATGGGAATCATTGTATTGTCTGCCTCCCTGCTTGTGAAGGAATCAAATAAGATAACGGCTGTGCAGATGTTCTAGAAAGTCCCTGTGCTCCAGCAGGGTGGGACTTGGGCTCCTGCTGAAATGCTTGGGACAGTCACTATTGTGGAGAGTGAAATTGCCATGCAGACAGTTCATTATCACAGAAGTGGCACATTTTCTAGTTAACACCAATAGGATACTGCTTCTCTCACAAGAAGGGAAGAATTGCCACACTCATTATTGTGAGCATGTCTTTGGAGTGACCAGAGATCATCACTGGCTCTTTTCTAGGGGGTGACAGAAATGAAATAACAGACTTACAGATTCTTTAACAGTGTCTTCGTTATTATAAGCAGTTCGGTTGTGTTTCACCGCTGCTCCTTATTGCTGTGCTCCAGAGCTGAGCTGGGAAGTGCCAGGGAACATGAGTTTATCCTTCTGCCGTGGAATACAGAAGCCCTATTTGACTGTAACTAAAGGCAGCCTTCAGAAATGATGTGGATTGTTATGCTGACAATTCACCAAGGAGATTATTATGTATGATTAGGTGTTTAATGTTGACTTCTGATAGTGACTTCTTATAATATGTAAGGCAGATGGCTAAACCAACTCTGGCACATCCATTCCAATAATAAAAAGAAATAAGGTGGATCTACAGCAATATAGGTCAATCACAAAATATTTATACTAAGCAAACAAAATTCTTATCTGAAAGCATACACACTGTGTGATTATGTTTATATTCTGTAAAAGGCAAAGCTAAACAGTGGTACAAAATAACTATGGATAACCCAGCCTTGGGGGCAAGTGGCAAGCTGCTGGCAAGAGTGGAAGTGGAGGGTAGAGAGACCTGCAGTTACTTCGAATTGCAGCAACTACCACAATATTGGATGGATAGATTCACAACAGGGTATATGTAATTAAAAACACTTGCCGAAGCTGGTCCTTATTCAAGTCTTCATTGTTCTCTTTTTTTCCAAATATCCTGTAGGTCTGAAAAGTCCATAACAATATGTTTCAAAATATGATTTCAGAACAAGAACTATTAATAAAAAAACATAAAAGAAACTCTTGTTAGTGGTTTTGCGATGCAGTATTCTTTTAAGCACTGAATATCCTTGGACATTTGAAGCATTATCTTCTCTCAAAATCCTGGATAAAAGAGACATTTAAAATGATAAACATAGAAGTCTTTCCGAATTTGTAGTGTATTACGTGAATTGTTATCAAACTAAATTTGTAATTAAAAACTACTTAACACTGTGTTTTACCACACACCATTTCACTTTCTTTTGTTCATCTCCAGAAATTATTTTTTAGAAAGGATAAGCTCTAAAATAAAAAAAAGAAATAATAAGCTGTTAACAGAATTCCGCTAGGGAGAATACGCCATTTTTATGAAATCTGTTAATGGATAAGGAGCATTTTTGAAAACCTTGATGTTGTGAAACAGATAACATCACCTTGGCCTTTGGCCGTCATCTGAGGCTATGAGCATTATTGGAATTAGGAAGACTGAATTTAAAGTGCTCATGCCAAATTAGGGCATTGTACTTTTTGAAAAGCACCAAATTCAATAGGAACAAGTACAGAACTGTAGCCTTCAGAACCCAGTCTACATGGAAAAGGATCTATTCTTAAGAAATCTAACTGGTTGTTTCTCACTGACTATTCCCTGTCTCCCATCCTGTGGTTAGATTCAGTTTATATACATAATTTTTAAGTCACACGGAGACAGAAGTCAAGGTTTAATGAAGAATAGGGTGATGCAAATAATGAACAGCTGGTCCTTTTAGGAAAATCTGAGAGAAGAAATGCTGCAAACTCTTCCAAGATTGAAAGGTTAATCAAGTTCTTGATTACTATTTTCAACTGCATGACGTATTTCTATGAAGAGTCTCTGAAAAAACTAACGGAAGAGATTTAAATTAGGAAGAAATAATTTAGTTGTACAGTGGAACAATCTCCTGACTCTGAGGTCAGTTAGACTCTGGAATAATTATCAGGAGATATTTCAGAGTGTACATCCCTGGAGATTTACAAAACAAAATATAAATTCTAAATAGTTCGACAACAACCTGATATCAGCTGAGGACTAAGTCAGAAGACCCCTGATTCTCATCATAACGTTTTGTCCTATAATAATAATTTTAAAATGCAACTTGCTACTAATTTATATTGTTCTGGGCTTTGCATAACTTTAAATTCACTTAAAAGTCACTATATTAGTGATTACTTTCTTTGCTCTTGTCTCTTGATAAATGAATATTGTTTTGGTGACTGTAACCCTCCTCTTAGTTCCTATGTTTTCATAATTACTATGAAATACTTATACAGTAGTCCCCCGATATTCTCAGAGAATAGTATGTTCCAGAATTCCTTGAGTGCCTGAAACTGCAAACAGTACTGAACCTTGCATATTCTGTCTTTTCCCATACTTACATAGTTTGATTTATGAGTTAGTCACAGTAAAAAATTAACAGCAATAACTAGTCATAAAATGGAGCAGTTAGAACAAGTTATGTCACTATAACAGAAGCCATCTTAATAAGACTATAGTAAACTATCATAAAAATTATGCAAATACGGTCTCTTTCTCTCGAAAACGTCAAGACTAATAGTGATATTCTTAGACCTAGTTGACTTGGGTTTTCGCTGCTCAAAGTGAAAACCATGAATCAAGGGCAATTACTACAGTGCCGTCTCATTTTTCTTTTTAATGCTATATCAATATCATTATGAGGCTGCTTTTATACTTACCACTCTGAGAGCCATAAGCATTTTCTCTCTGTGAGACAATGCCTATCTGAATCTGCTCAATGTGCTCTTCCATTTCACCCTGCCGCGTCTCTACCCTGCCATCCAGAAGTGAAATAAAACTGTCATCCTGGAAAATAATTTATCTTCCCCTTAAAAGTAAATATGGAAGGATCCTATTTTTTTAATGCAGTGTTTTTCATTGGTACGTGTTTGCAGTACACAATGGTAACCGTCATCACAGTGGTTGGTGCATATGCATAATGCGTCTTTTTTCTTTTCATGCCCCACCCTTCCCAGAATCCTCTGCTGCCTCCTCCCCATGGTCCTTCTTTTTGGCTTCTTAGTCTTACTCTGTGGTTCACTTTTATTCTTCCCCACTGCAGAGCAAAACTTGCTTCCTGTTGCGATGCTGTTCAAAACTTCGTGGTTTCGCAGAATAACACTCCAGTTGGAACTAACATGAGTTATGAGGTGGAAAGTAAAAAAGAAATCCCAATTAGAGAGAGCATTTTTCATATGTTTCCAGTGGTAAGTAAAGGTTAATTGTAGCTTTCCTTTCACCTTAAATTGTGATTTATAGCAATGAATGAATAAATAAATAAATAAATGAGTCAGTGGTTTAAAAACTATTATATTTGGTTACAGTGCATAAAATGTGTACTGTGGACCATTTTTTAAAAGTCAATTTTATTTACTTTTAGTTTTTATTCTGGTGGTCAAACTCTGGGTCTCATATAGTAGGCAAATTTTCTACTGAGCTGTGCCCCTGGCCCCTAAAAAGGCAATTTTAATGAGGTGTGGCTCTGTAGGGAAGGACATTTGTATTTAAATGATGAGCTGTTCTGGTTTTCGACTCTTCTAGACTCTTCTTTGGAGGTAATTAGTGAGTTGATATCTACATATTGACCACTGGGACTTGTGACTACAACCTTATCTTGGGAAATAATCATGGAATAGTCTGTGGCAAATAAATACAACATCCATAAGACAGGGATTATCATCTTCTATGTTCCCTGATGTATCCAATGCTTCTAGAACATTCTTCAGCACATATGTCCAAACATTACATGGTTGTGACATTGAAAAATCACGATATGATACACTACTGCTTCACACAGCCTGAAGAAACATCCAACTTTGGAAAACATTTTTGTCATGGAGAACAACTGTGGCATATAAACATACACTCCCAGGAATTTTAACATTATCTACTTAAAAGCATTCAAGCTCCTGGGGAGGTAGCTCCACAGTAAAGCATGTGCCTAGCATCCACAGTTACAAAGAACACAGCTAGGCCACGCCAATATAGTAAAAAATGGGATCATTGTATATATGCCTTTTGCCAACTGTAGAAAATAAGATTATTATGATTAATTCTCTTTGGTTGGGCTTCTGATTTCTTTGAATTTATTACTGATCATGTAAATTGTTTTAGTGGGGTTTTATCAATATTACAACTCAAAAGAAGGATAATTGAGAATAAATATGAAATAAAATGATAGAGGAAGAAATACTACACATTAACTGGAAGGAAGAAGAGACAAAAATAATGTAATCCAGGATATTTAAAAGACAAAATTCAGGGCTGTGGAGATGGCTCAGTGGAATAAGTGCTTCCCTGGCAAGCGCAAGGGCCTGAGTTCAATCCCCAGTTCCGCAAAAATAAATAAATAAATAAATAAATAAATAAATAAATAAATAAATAAATACAAAATTCAGTCCTTTGAAATGATTAACAAAATTAACACAGTTCATTAAAGGTAATTATACATCAATAAACTTTATTTAAGAAAATTACTCTTGTAAGGTGCTTTCATGATGCATTGAATACCAATAATTGTGAAGATAACAAAAGAATATTTCCATTCCTTACCACAGAAGGTCATGGACAGTTCTGTGCTGGGCCACTTCTCACATGCTGCTGTCTTTGCAGGTGCATTTGTATCTCACATTTGGTGGCCAGCACACAGGGGCTGCATCTATTCTGTGTCTCACTTGGCAGAAAGGGAAAGCTTACCATAGTGTTGCAGTCAGGCTCTGCCAAGGAATACATTTAGTACAGGATATAAATTTATAGTATTATTTTATAAGACTCATCCAAAAAGCCAAATGCAGAAGAGTGCAAGAGATTTGTTCGCTAAATAGAGAGCCAAAGAGTGCAGCTGAGGGCCTGGATCCCACACTAATGTCCCGCAGGAGTCCAGCGGGAGGCCCAGAGCCCACAGCAATGTCTCATGCAAGTCTGTATTGAGGACGTGCATTAAGAAGGCCCAGAGGTCAGTGGTAGAAACTAGAAAGTGCACCAGCTGGAGGGAGGATCTGTGCCAGCAGACTGTGCCATTTGCCCTGGAGCTGGGAAGCAGTGCTCAAAGTAAGGACCAGAGCTCCCCTGAAAACAACTACAGCCTTCCTCAGTGACAGCAAGGACCTGAGCTCCTCCAAGGATGAGAACAGTTGAGCTCATATCGGGAAAACCAGTGAGACAAACCTCCAGGAGAATCGACGGCACACCATCGTCCCCTCCAATCTGCTTTTATGCTGTTGGTGACAGTCCTCACCTGGGCCTTCCACACCAGACTGACTCAGTTTAGCTGGTGTTACCAGCTGACCCTTAGTTACTTCACCACAAACAGCATTGAGAATTCCCTATTCAGTTAATGTCTGCATCCATTGTCAGAGTTTATACTGATAAAAAAAAAATTCTGCAACTGATGCAGTATGAATTGCACTGCCATGTCACTTTCTGAGTGGCCCTGACCTTCAACTTCACACATGGGGGGGCCCATAGTCGAGTTGACATCTTTTGTACCTTGCTTCCCGCCTGTCCACCCTGTTCCACTGCTGCACACACAGCATTTTGGATCAGCCAGGCATACAGCAGATTGCAATAAATACACTTGATTAAACAGCAGGAAGTAACTTCTTCCAAAAACTTTGCAAAGTTATTTGAAGAGCAAGACAACAAAGTTGATTTTCAGTCGGAGCGAGCAATGAGCGGGCAATTGAGCTATACAAATTTTCATTTTTCTTGGGAAGTTTATTTTAGGGAACACTGGGGTTTGTAATTTATTTCAACTCTTACTGAACATGAGATCCCAAAACATATGGCTGTTTTCCCCCAGTTGACCGAGAAACCAGAGAAAACATGCATTACTTTGAGTGCTTAATATGAGATATGCTCCCCGCAGTAATCCTTTCTTTTGTACTATAAAGAGCATATTTGCATTTTTGTATTCTGCCCCATCTATAAAATTCAGAATTGTATTACCACTGAGTAAACACTATCTGAGGCCTCCTGAGCTAGAAGTCCCTTGACACTAAATAGCCTGAGGTATCTGAAAGCCACTTAAAAGCCAGGCACTAAGCTGGGCATCACGGATATTAAAGAACATATGTACCAGCATGAAGCTTACATTTTAATCCAAGGACTAGTAAGAAACTGGATTGTGTAGTGGCTATCCAATGCAAATCTGGGTCCTTGGGAACAAACCTCCTGGGTTCGTTGCCCAGCTCTACCTCTCTGTCACTAATGCTTGATTTTGAGCCTCCATTTTCTGAGCCCTGGAATACTCACAAGGTGGCTGTGTGGATTCAATGTGCTAATAAACTATGTACAGGGAACAGTGCCTCCCCTGCAGGAAGCATCGTACCACTGTTGCATTTCTAAGACACGCCTACTGAGAGGAGTGCTGACACAGGCTCTCTGCTTGCTGGGTGTCTCCCAAGTGTGGCTTGGGGAGCAGGTGGCAGACAGAGGTGCACAGGTCTGCTGGTGCTCTGCACTGCTCAGAATACCAGCCCTGAGTGGTGCTGGCAAACTAGCCATGGGGAGGGACGTGCCTTGATTTTGTAGCCTCTGCTGTTTTCAATGGTTTAAATGCCAACACCATGGATAATTTCAAGTTACCAGTGGTATCACTGCTGCTTGTGAAATTCCTGAATGTCATGCAGTTGGCTTTTGCAGCCTATTCAAGCAGCTTCAGCACACTGCTGGGAAGGGCTGAGGGAGACCACTGGACCAGCAGTGCTTATCAGGAACTCACTGCTCACTCTGCACTCTGCTATACATGAAGGGCAGAGGTGGGGAAATGTAAAACTAAGTGGCACTTTCTGTCTTTGGGGATTTACATTCTTGTGTTGAAGGCAAAATAGATGAATTGGGAACCCATCGTTGTGCTGTGTGAGCCGGCACCTACCTGGAAGCTCAAGGACATACAATGAGTTCAGGGGATGTGATCAGAAAAGACAAAATGTACTACTGAGTTGAAAAGTTGTGTTTCAAATTGCAGAGGAACTGGGGGAAATGAGAAACCTTTGAGGGTACACTGGGGGCGGGCCTAGAAGGAAATGAAAACTATTCAAGCCTCAGAAATTAATTTGAAATATGTCTCCTGGAGTTGGTCAACCACCCTGAAGCACACTGGCTGGTCGTCTGAAGAGATGGCAAGCATAAATCTAATGCCATTACACAGCCTGAAGGTCCAGCTACTTAAAACACACAGGAAACTTTTGCTAAATTACCTGTTAATTTTATTGCTTAGAATAAAAGACGTAATGCTACTTTGTAATTTCATTATTTTCTCTTTCTTTGCTAAAAAAGCCCTTGTTTGTTAAAAAGGTGCTATGTTAAATTTTGCCATTCTTTTATTATGTCATATAAGATATTTTGTATATAAATATGTTTATAAGATTGCATTTTTTGTATGTCATGCAATATTTGTTTCTCCCAATAGAAATGAAACAGATTTACAGGATGTCTTTTTATTTTGTCATGATAAGTTGATCAGCGTCCTGAGTTGCTTTCTTTTTTCCTTTTTAAATGTTCTTTCTGTTAGTTCTTTTTCTTCTTCTTAGCTTTTGTGAAAAATTGTTGTAATTAAGTTGATGATGTTTGCGGTCTTTAAACCAGTGGCATTTTATGTCAGTTTCACTTTCCTCTCCTAGTCCCAGCCTTTCGTGGAATATCCGTATAATCAGTGTGCTGTGGTTGGCAACGGGGGAATTCTGAATAAGTCCTTCTGCGGAGCTGAAATAGATAAATCTGACTTTGTTTTTAGGTAAGAGTCATCAAAATGGATTCTTTGCAACCTAAGATCAATTGTGTATTTTAAAGGTGTAGTGGAAAGGTCCAGGGTGTTAATTTTGACTTTTGAATTGTTTTCTGAATGTCTATAAATTACCCAGGTTGGGCTTTCCCCAAGTATTACACTCCGTGAGTGTTCATATCTGGAAGATAAAAATGTCCCTTAGTCATCTACCAGTAGAAGTGAAATGAAATCAAGGTAAAAGAAGGCTTAGGACTGTCGAATCCTGCAGAGCCTTCAGTGTTTGAATAGGTACCATGACCCTTCAGGAGGACTGCAGGGAGGAACATTTCCCAGACTCCCCTGGCCTGGAAGCCTTGTTTCTCTTACAGAGGATGTCAGAAAGCTTCATCAGTCAGAAATACCAGGGAAATTGCATTTACAGCAATGCAGTATCATTGTTTAATTTTTCTGGGTTTAAATTAAAAATATTTTGGGCAGTTCATAATTATGGCTTTCTAAAATATTTTTATCTTAGTACCAGCTATTTTTCAAAAATACAAATAAAAATGGTTTTGATATGTGTCTGATACTAATAAGCTAGTCCACAAAGCATCTCTTTTAGAATATGCTAGAAAGGCGATTGCTCCCAGGATGAATTTCAGGTGAAATACATCTTCTGGAAAATTAGATACCTGTTTCTTTGTTTTAGGAGCATTGATTTCATACATCAGCCATCCATTGGTCCCTGTTTATTTCATGCTAACCTTTCTATAATTTTTTAAATGAGAGTTTCCATCAATACTATACTGTAGCTCCCCCTTTACTATAATTTCATTTTTTGAAGTCTTATGCTGAGGGTAATGACAGCTCAACATTAGACCTCATAGTGTGACAATTATGGGATGGATTCTTCATGATCAATATTAAGGTGGCCAATGTGTGAATGAGTTAGCCATTTTGTTCATGTCCTCCATGTGAAAGAGTCATACTAAAGACAGATAACTCAGCATCGGATACAGTCCTTATAGACTTTAAATTCTCAAAACATCTGTGGTGAGTATCCTATCTAAATATTAATTTTACTTTATAGCAAGCATAAGAAATGTAAAGTTTGGCTTAAAACCTTTAAAAGGTCCCAGCTGTTTGATTTATAATTCTAAAATATCTATAAATGTCTGTATTTCTGGATTCTACTTTTTCTGATGCCAGATATTTTTGTGACTATCAAGTCCCATTAAAACTTGGACAAATTTAATGGCAAAGTAAGGAATAGTTGTAGTTGGGCTTATTAGAATGTACTTCATTTTTTAAACACATACTTGTTTTGACTATATATGCTGATTGTAAAACAATTTGAAAGTTACTTATCAATTTTTATTTCAAAAGATTAGGAGTTGTAGATTAAGTATGTAAAGAAATAAAGTAACTATATTAGTGTATATAATAGTACTGTAGTACTGTATAAAATGTATAATGTATACAATAGTGTAGCATGCATTATATTAACATGTACAATGGGGTGAGGTACACAAGAAACGTTAGAAAAGATGTCAGCAAATATTGTGACTATACATACGTAGCAGCGTATATGCCTGTCCTGTTTTTCCTCTCAGTCTCCTGGGATCCTGTAATGGAAATCACATTTGATTCTTCAAAAAATGTGAGGTTATATTTGTTATTGGAGGCCCACTAATAAAGTCATTTCCCTGACCTTGAATCTATAATTAATCTTTGTTTTCTGATATATCTTTTATATCACAGAGAGAAGTGTTTGTTTCATTTATTTATGTTTTCTGGGACATGGAATAGAATATTTCAACCTCTATCTTATCACAGAGCATGTCATCTTTGGACAGCCTTCCAAAGAAAGCATTTGATGTGCTTTTTTTGTTTAGCTTTAAAGCAATGGGCTCCTTGAAATTTAAAATGTTTGGTGAGCCATACCATCTCTCTTCTTTTGTTGTGATCTTAGATGCTTAATTTGTTTCCCAAAGTAAAAACAAATTAGTGCTCAAAGAAATGCGAGAACATCACTATGAAAACCTCACTATAAGCACATGAGGGTTTTATTCATTAATACCATAATTTGGTGGTGAAACCTTCTATATGAGAATCAGGAGATTTGGGTGATTGTTGTAGTCTCAGCCTCTGGCAAATGCTATAACCTTAGTTTTTGTGCTTCATCTTTTTAAAATCTGGAAAGTAGTAAGCACAGCATTGTGGGAATTTAATCAATAGAAATGATGATTTTTAATAAAAGGATTGGAAACTTTGATAGGCCTGGTATAATTGTCATTTATGGTTTCAATACTTTTAAAAAATTATTGAAGCTAACTACTATATTTGGGTATTTTAAAGTGTTGACATGTCAACAAAGAACTCAGTACTTATGAAATAGCTTTAAAGGGAAATCAAATGAACTCTGAGGATTACTCAGCAAAAATGCTATTCTCTAACTTAAGACCAGTTATCAAATGTGTGTGTGTCTCTGTGTGTGTGTGCACACTTATTCTTTATAAGCTGCATTTTGAAAATAGCTTTCCTTCCATATTTCAGGTGCAACCTCCCTCCAACCACAGGAAATATTAGCCAAGATGTTGGCAGTAAAACAAATCTTGTAACTGTGAATCCCAGTATCATCACACTAAAGTAAGTGTATCCTGGTTATGTAACCATCCAAGAACAGTTTTTAATTGCTTAACGCGCTTCTTAGTCTAAGTGTTAACATCATGGCTGAGGGTGATTTGCAATACAGCTGGAACAGCTCTTGGGAAGAATCACAGAATGCATTTGAAAGTGCTGACATTCTGTAAAGGTTGTGCTTCACCAGAGGTATGACTCAGTTACGCTACCAGTGTCGTAATCAGATGAGAACTTGTTTGTCTCCTCATCTTTTTAGCAGTACTGAAGTTAGTTTTTTCTGTTTGCTTTTTGGAGTTTTCACTCTACTCTTTGGACTGCATAGCTCTTTCTAGATAAAACTTGGTCTGTTTAGAAATTTTGGAGAGCTTGGTAAAATGAAATTTTCATTTTGGATAATTTGCTACTCCAAAGCAATTTCTGTGTTTTGTTTCTGCAGTGTAACTACTTCATAATGTTAACTGGTTCATAAAAATCGCCAGCATAGTTTTGCTCCACTGTTCTCATCAGAAATGACTGGTGATTGTTATTAATAGAGTATGCCCTTCCAAAGACTTCTAGAATGTCTTGAGATAAAAGAAAAGATTGTACCTGCCTTTTGGAAAAGCTGGCTTTCTAAATACAATACAATTATGTTAACAGGCAAGCTCACTTAAGTAATATTTAAATCATAAGTATCATGAAAATACATATACAGAGGACATTTTTGGTATAATAGATATTTCTATCTATATTTGCATATGGAGACTTTAGGTTTTTCAAAGTAAACTTCTATTTTATAACTAAATATGTATACTAAGTGCATAAGTCAGAGGTACACAGCTCAATGAATTTTTTAAAATGTAGATGTACATGTGCTGTGCTTGGAAAATATTGGTTATAAATTTGAAAGATGTTGAAACATCAAAAAGTAACTTTCAAATACCATGGGGTTGAAGTGTAAAATAATTGAAAGTCTAGGTATTTCAAGAGAGATGAAGAGCTCTTCCTTGATATATACACATGATGTTTGAATGATTTTTCTGAGTGTATGGCTTTTCTTTTATACACAGAATATAAATAAATGACTTAGTTTTTTGACCAGAAGCAAATTTAGCCTGATGGGACCAAATCTGTTCCATTGGTTGTTATTACTGTGGTTATTATGATTTTTTAAAATTTGGCAGATACGGGAACTTAAAGGAGAAGAAAGCAGAATTTCTGGAAGACATTGCCTCCTACGGAGATGCCTTCCTTCTCCTGCCTGCATTTTCCTTCCGAGCCAACACTGGTGCCTCTTTTAAAGTGTACTACACACTCAAGGAGTCTAAGGCAAGACAGAAAGTTCTCTTTTTCCATCCCAAGTACCTGAAACATCTTGCCCTCTTCTGGAAAACTAAGGGGGTGACTGCATACCGCTTGTCCACCGGCTTGATGATCACAAGCATTGCTGTGGAGCTGTGTGAAAACGTGAAGCTCTATGGCTTTTGGCCCTTCTCCAAAACTGTAGAGGACACACCAGTCAGCCATCACTACTATGACAACAGGCTACCTAAACGTGGTTTCCATCAGATGCCCAAAGAATACAGCCAGATCCTCCAACTTCACGTGAAAGGAATCCTCAAACTACAGTTTAGCAAATGTGAAAGAGCGTAAGCAAAGATTCTTACCATGAGAATGGTCTTCCCATGATGCAGTAGGTGAGCAGTGTTGCCAAACGAAAAGGAGGTGGTGAAGGAGAATGATAGCAACTGCTTCAAAACTTGGTTTTACCAAAGCTCTCTCACTAACTTTACAGCCTTCTTGTGTCAACCAGTTGTTCTAATCTTCATTTTCCTCTTTTGTAAAATGAGGATCATAATACTGACTCACAGGAGAAAAAAGAATAATTTATGAAATGTCCTGGCATAGCATTTGGTGTGAGGTAGGGATTCAATAAATGCTTCCTTCTTAATATTAAAAACAGCCATTTCCACCCTCACTAGAAAGTAAAAGGTGTATTATTTTGGCAACTCTTCCTCAAAAGAGCGGAATCGCCATATTAATTGCATTTCTTTCTCTCACAGCCTTCACTCTATTAATATCCTTCCCATTTTTCTTTCATCTCAAAGAATGACTGCAAGAAAATTGTACTGTTAAACAAGAAATCTTTGATTATTCAGGAATGAAAATCTTCTCTTTGTATGGCAGTGTCCCTCCTTCTTCTGATTAAATTTACTTGCAATGTTAGCTTCACTGATGGGTTGGGTGGGTTTTTGCCATTTCTTTTCTTCTATTATCTACATTTTAAACCACTTTTTATAATTTGGTATGAACTTTTTCTTTCATTCTTGTGCCATTTTCTCTCCCACTGACAGAATGCACTTCAAGGACATGAATAGTTAAAATACCCAGGCTTTTTTACTTGCTGTCTTGTCTGTAGGATCACTCCTCCAATCTAATTTAAAAAATATTGAACAGCTACTTTGTGCCAGACCCTGCACTAAGCCCAGTGAGAGGGCTATCAAGACCACTTCTAGCAAAAAGAAATATACGCACATCATTAGTGATATGGTATAGCAAGTGTTATGATGATAACAATTATGAAAAACAGTGCTAGAAAGATCATAGACAGGGATAACTAATCTCTTTCACTCTGTTTCAATGTATCTGTTTCAGGGAAAAAGGTAATTTTAGAATTAAAACTGGAAAATGAGGGCTTCTTTCCAACTGAAAATGATTCTAGGTAGATGGAATATGATAGGGGGCAAAAAACTGTTCCTTTGGTTCTGATTTATCAGAATGAGGATATTTGAAAGGAGGTCATGGTTTTTGTCCCCAAATTGTCACTGGAGAGCATGCACTGTGTAAGAGGATAGTGGCTAAGGCTCACATCTGCAAAATAGTGACAATTCAGACCTCACCTTATTTTTTTAATTTATAAGTTTGGTACAAGGTCTCACTGTGCAGCTCAGACTCATAGTGATCCTCCTGTCTCAGCCTCCGCAGCCCTGGAATTACAGGCATACACCACCACATCTGGTTTTGAGGGGGACATGGCATATGGTAGCAGGAATTGAGGCCAGGTCCTTGTACTTGCCAGGCGGGTGCTTAGACTGCTAAACTATCTCCCTGACCGAGCCCTGACCAATTTAATAGAAGGCTTAAGGATGAGAACCCTCAGAAACTTAATTCACCCTAGGAAAGATCCATGTTTATATGAAAAATAAAACTAACAGTTTAGACACCAGTATAAAATAAAACTGGAGTAAATATTAAATATTAGAATTTGTACGATTCCCTTACGTTATGACGAAACTTACCCATATGCTACCCTTGTATCTGCTGAGTGACTGATTTGACTTACATATATAATCATGTGTATGCTTCTCTGCTTATCATTCCACCTCTGTAGGAAGACTGGAAATCAGAGTTAGCAGGTCAACATGTCAAAATAATTACAATTCTTAAATTAATTATCTGAGTCAGAGTATTGTCTTACCAAACATCCACTTGTAAGAACACTGTGCCATAAATTCCTCATTTTATAAAATACACCTTTACTTTGTATTTGCCATATGTCATGTGATTTTTGAGTTTATATTTCATTTGTTCTTTATGGCAGGTGGGACTTACTAGCTTTATAAATTGGTTAAAAGTTCATATATGAATATATTCCAAAAGGAAAATGCTTTTTGTTACATAAAGTCTAATTTATTTATTATCTTTTTATAGGGAATGGGTGGCTTTTTTCTGTTACTTCTAATGGATTTAATTAGCTTTAAGCAATATGTTGGCAGCACTGGTAGTGTTTCAGTTGTGCTACTAGCAATGGATTCTTAAAAATGGATGAGAGCACCCTAGTATTTTAGAATAAGTTAACTAATTTTTTGAAAATGTCAGTGGCAAGTGAAGCAAATTATTTCTTTTTGATATTGGAAATATATGATTGAAGCATAAAAGTAATCAAATATACTGAAATAAATCATCAGATGTGCAAGGTGGAGGCTCTACATGTTACTTTAATAAAGACAGTGATTGATTAAAACATTGAAAGGCTATTTATGTTATTCCATATAAGCTATTTTAACTTAGGAAACTTTTTTAAAATCTCTAAACATATTCAAAATAATATAAAATCAAGACATATAATGATACCCATGTCCAAATAAAAGTTTAGTAGAAAAAAGAGTATTTGTGGAGGTTATTTTTTTCAAGAAAATTACATACGTGCATCTGGGGTTTCTTATTTTACTTCGCATTACCGTCTTAAAAGCATGGTCACAATTTTAGTATTCAATTTACACTAACCAAAACTCATTGGTCCAAAACAAACAATTGAACAAACAAATACCTAGAGATTTCTTAAGCATGTCACAGTCAGACTTAGTGGCAATTAATGTACAAATCTATAAGGGCAAGTTGATAGCCTTTCACTTTGTTTCGATCTCAGTGAAAACTTGTATGATTCACCATTACAAAACAAAAATCCCCGTGACTTGAATTTTACAGTTCACACAGCTGATGTGCCACAGTGTCTAAATTCATGTTCTATAGTATTTTGTCAAATGTGCACTCTTTACATTTCTCCCAAATGGTTCTGTAGTTGTTGATTCACTACAGATTGAGGTTATCCGCTGTTATTTGAGGCTCTTCTATGCTTCTGTTCATAGAGTCCTGTGCTGTAAACATGTAAAGGGAGTGGGCAGCACACATACCTCATCCACATCATAATATTTCCTTCCTGGTACAGCAGGACCTTCCACTTGTTCCACTATGTGTGCCAAAATGTCCTTTTGTTCCAAAACATAACATGACTTAAAACTTTCCAAAATGTGATAGAGCATGAATTTTCACAGTGTAGCAAATCTGCTGTGTAAATTGTGAAGCATAAGTCACAGGTCCTTTTGCTCTCCAAAGGCACATTATTGCAAGTTTTCTAGCAAAATCAAAACACAAAGAAAAACTGTGAACTCTTGCTTGGAGATTTGGAGACTATCCACTAGTAAGTCTGACTGTAACTCTCTCAAGAATGTATAAAATAAACGTTCTTAAATGCTGTTAGATGGATTAAATTTAATCTTTTGCTCCTACAGGTTCAAGTACACCAATGGGCACTGAACAGGGGAAGTCTGGGCTGGGAGCAGACCTTTAGCTATGACTCTAGATCATAACGCTGCACACCATCAGCTCCTAAGGGAAATACAGCCACACTTGCTTCTGTTTTCTACTTGGTGTTTGGCATCAGTGGACAATGTAACTGAATACCAAGTTTCCAAAATAGTTTTCAGCCAAATACACAGGAAACAAGAAATAGTCATTTAAGTTCATAGGTCATTTAAGAACATATTCGGTTTTGTCCCTGAAAAGGACTCCATGGACAATTGCATAAAGTTAATTTTTGCATAGTGCAACAAACCTTAAAAACATTTGGGTTATTTTCCTCTGAGCAAAACACAAAAAACACTAGACCATGAGTTTCATAAAAGATTCCCTCTGCATGTAAATTCCAACCTGGTAAATATGTAGGCTCTCATCCAGGTAGTCAAGGACATTTTTTTGGATAACTTTCTGTGTACAGAGTACTGACCTAAGCTCTAAATCAGACCCATTACTGCCTAGAATTTTCCTTGCCTACAGAATATTTACCAGTTAAATATTATATCATGTCAAGTACTGAAATAATTCCATGAATTTCAAGAAGCTTTTGGGAAAATTGAAAAACTTTGCAGACAACAAAGTTTTGTTATCTCCTAACAACCCAAACAGGTATGGTTTGGTGTAATGTTGTGATGACATGCAAATCATTTCATATATGCAGCATTACATAGGAACACATACAATGCTATTGAACACTGAAGGCCCTATAGGAATTTAGTTGATACAGTTGGTGCACTTGGCCCAATAAGAGGAAGTGTGTGTGTAAGATTTCCTCTCTGCACATGACTTCAGAAGGCTGACAACACAGTGACTGGTTTGGCCATTCTTTTCCTGAGAGTCTCGTGACTCTGGAGCATCACTTCCAGATATTGAGCCTTCTTTTTATAAGAAAAGGTGAGTGATGTAAGACAAAGATGCTCAATTTGCATACTGGACGAGGGACCAATTGTTCAGCAGATGGTCTGGGAATGTTGGCCTAGAAGTATAAATTATGTTAAAAATAAGTAAATATATTTTATGACATGTAAAATGTTGGGCACCCACATGCATTAAAGATAGATGAAAATGTAAAAGCATAAAATGGGCACTAATGGAAGAAAAAGTAGGGGAATTGCATCTGAAATTGAAGTGAGAAGCTGAGCTTCTTAAACATGATGCAAGATGCTAGGGTTTTATTGCTCAGTGGTACAGTGTCTGCCTGGCAAGTGTGAGGTCCTGACTTGATTCCTGGTGGCAAAAGAAAAAGAACGACACCAAAATAATTTCTTAAAGAATCAGACTAAGAAATGATATGACTGTATTAAAATGAAAAATTTCAGGGGCCGGGGAGATTGTTCAGTAGAATAAATGCTTCCCTGGTGAGCACAAGGGCCTGAGTTCAATCCCTGGTTTTGAAAAAAAAAAAAAAAAAAAAAATTCTGGTCGGTAAGTGACACTTGAGAATGTATAGACTGTGACAGATTTTACATGGTTTTAGAATGCAAAAAGTTAATGACATTAATATAAATGAGACCAAAAATCAACAAAAGACAGAAAAACAAAAGGAAAAGCTGAGCAGCTAATAACAAAAGGAAATGATGTTCATATTAGTAACCTGAGAAGTGCTGATTAAAGTTACATTCTGTCTCCACTGTATTGGCAAAACATTAGTAACATGATTAATTTCATGTGCTTGTGTAAGCATAAACTGACAACCCTTCTGGCAAAGAAAATCTTAAAGTATGGAGTAAAATTAATAAGTATTTGTCCTGTGGCCCAGCAGTCGCCCTTGGGGATCTGCCTGCCGGACAACCTTTGCAGGTCCACAGAGCAGTGGTTACTAAGGTACTTAGTTTATTGTTGCTGGTAACAGAATTGAACATACAGGTGTCTATCTCTAAGGCTAAGTGTGGTGACTACATACTGCAAAACCCAGTGTACCAGTTAGAAGCAATTTACAACTTGCTATCTATACAGAGAGCAAGAAAGATAGATTTTTTTAAATTTAGCATAAAACAAAATAAGAGCTATAGCACTGTATCATCTACTTATCTTAAAGCAAGTACATGAATAAATACATATATGCTGGAGGGTATGTATTAAACACAAGCCACCCACCCATTAAAGAAAAGGTAAGAGAGGTGGCTTAGGGCTACTTTAAATGTTATCATGTTTAATACTGTTAAACATTGCTATCATATTAAATATAGCAAGCCATTGAGCCACTGGGTGTATTTTTATCATCACATAATATATTTTTAGTTATATATAAATCAACAGAAACTGAAACTATGGGTAGCTTTTGTAAGGTTGGTTTATAAGAGTAGAGCTTATAAAAACTGGCTGTAAAGCCTCTTTTTCTAGTATGAAATTATCAAGTGGAAAGGACACTGTTACTTTCACCTGATTGTTCCTTCTTACTTTTCCTTGTCCGTTCGACCCTAGTTCCCAGGAAATCTCTAATCTGATTTTTTATAGACTAATATACCTTTTTACACTATAGACTGTCTACATTTTTTTAAAACGTTTATAGAATTGAAATCGTAACCGTGCATTCATTTTGGTCTTCCTCATTCACTCAGCATAATAATATTAAGATGCATTATGTTGTTTGGGTATTAATTGTTCCTCTATTTGCTCAGCAGAATTCTTTTACAGGAGTGTGTCACAATGTGTTTATCCATTCACCTCGTTATGCACATTTTACTTGTCTTTGGTTTTTTACTATTAGAAATAAAGTTATCATACCTGCTCATCTACAAGTCTTTGTGTGATCATATAATTTCCCTGGAGCAGATGCCTAGGACTGGGATGGCAGGGTCACACGGTCAGTGTAGAGCAAAC